ACACACACACACACACACACACACACACACACTCCCTTTGTCTATATCTCTCCATCTATTTATCAATTTATCCATTTGTCTGTCTACTTGTTTCCTCTTTCTTCCCTATTTTCAAGATGTTTCTTTTCTCTTTCCTCCCCCAGAGACCCCAACGACAGCGGCGCAGAGGACCTCTGGGGCGTCGTGCGCGAGAGGTCCAAGTACAGGACTCAGGACTGGGCCAAGTACGATCCCACCCACAGGAGGTTCCTCGAACTAGGTAGGCCTATTTTCAAAATGAATTTGGGTAACAGAGATGAATAATAAGAAAAAATAGACGTGGATCTGTATTCAGAAAATTATTTGCTGGCTGGTTTCGGTTCCATTTCCTGTTTTTTTCGCTTTGTTTAATTGTTTGATGTGGATTTCATTAAATGAGAGAGATTCGGTTTGAGTGTAATTTAGTAATACTAGATTTTACCGTCACGACAACAAAAATCTCATATGAATTGTAATCATCTGTTACATGATTGCATAATTCAATCATGGTTAGTTGTGTAACCGATTCTAAAGCTTACTTTGTCTCTCTCAGTCGTGAAATAAAGATACGCGTCCACATGAATCTAGGGTAGGTTGTGCTTGCTGTTTTCTGAAAGGGAATTTTATAATGTTTTCAGCTTTTGAAGCCAAATTATTCTTGAATTAGTTCCTTTAGACTATCTCTGCAGCCAAACTAACCTCTCCCCCTTGCCCCGCAGGCAGCCGCGGCCGCGTGCGGGACCACTACCGCGCGGGCCGCGTGGCGCTGTGGTCGTGGCTGGTGCCCGGCCTGGAGCGCGTGGGCGCGCGCTACGGCCCAGACTCGCCCTTCCACCGCCTACCCAAGTACCTGCAGCCTGACACCTTCTCGGGCCCAACGCGCCCCACCAACCTCTCGAGCAACTTCCTCCCACCGCCCACCACGCCCGCGCCCACCACGCAGCAGCTCTCCACGCAGGCGCACACGACGCCGCGCCCGACGGTGCTGGTGCTGATGAACAGCAGCAGCGTAGCCGGCCTGCTGGAGGACCTGGGCACGGGCCACAAGCCGCAGGGCGCCGCCGCCTTCCCCTACACGACGGCGCTGAGCCTGACGGTGGCCATCGGCTGCTCGCTGCTCATCCTCAACCTGCTGGTATTCGCCGCCGTCTACTACCGCCGCGACGCGCGCCAGCCCTTCACCAAGGCCAGCCACGACGGCAGCAGCGACAGCGGCAATGACGTGCAGCTGCACTCGTCCGGCGACCCGTGCAAGCCCATTTCGCCGTCACACTACGGCACGCTGCGCTCGTCCGCCACGCTGCGCTCGTCGCTGGCCACGTCGTTCGAGGGCGAGCAGCAGCACGAGTGGCCGCCCGACTACACCAGCAGCTGCCAGAGCGGCGAGGACGGCCCGCTGTGCGGCCCCGGCGAGCGGTGCCTGGCCGGCCACCCGCACAACGGCACGGCGTCGCGGCGCGGCGTGCACAGACAGTCCATGTCGTACAACCCGCACGTGGACACGCAGCTGTCGCCCGCCGTGTACGACGACACCCCCGACATGCATGTGTGAGGCCGTCGCCGGAACGCAGACGCCCGGCGGGCGCGCAGACGCAGCGACCGCATCGCGCCAAAACCTTTCCTTTCTGCGACATGTACATTGTTTATACATATTTTGTAGAATGCCTGTCGAAGCCGATCACTTACCCGAGCATTGCTTACTCAACGCCGACCGGAAACGGTTCTGAAAAAGTCTCCGGAGAAGGCTCGGCCGCCGCTGCCGAGTGGCAGCTCGACAGAAAGTCCTGAGGGAGCGCAGCCAGCGGCGTAGCCAGAGAGCTAGATAGCGTCCAGAGACTCTTCCTTGCGAGGCCTCCCGAATCGCCATTCGTAAAGAGGATCAGAGGCGAGAGCTGAGTACCCCGAGGCGCGTTCTGCCACTGTCTGTTCTCGACCAGTGGTTCTCACTCGGTCCAGCCGCGGACCCGCAGCCCAATTATAACTAATCGTGGCCGTCTTCTTTGGAGTAATGTTGAAGGAAATTGGAAAGCCTTTTGTTTTGACATATATACCTTCCAAAATGAGATTGGAGAAATTTGATGTAGTAGAAAGGCAACATTTGAAATGTATTTATTATAAGAATAATTGAAAAATAGAGTATAAATAGTTGACATTAAACTTGTGAAATACATCCCAAACGAACATAATTATGAACGTTTAAATTATACATATAATTTTCTCAGAAACTTGATAAATATATTTCTTGCAAGAGGGTCGACTGCACTAACTCCCAGATCATTACCTCTGGCTAAAATAACCACGATGGATTCCGGGGACTGCCAGCTGAGAGCCACTGATCTGGAATCGGTTTGGATACCTGGTCATCCTTCTTTACGATGCCAGCTTCACTCATTTTCTTCTATTCTGTGCCACAGATTAAAAGCTGAGTATATAATCACCAAGTCTGGGCGATGCGAAATATCAAGACGATATCGCATTATGTGTACATAATTCTGTTGATGTTTTTTTCGATGAGTAGCTGGGTATATATTTTCCCGCCACAGACGAAATTGTTGATCCGGAATGATCATGGACTTCTTAATAAAATCTTTTTATCATGATCAGTTACATAAAATAATAGATCAATTATAAATAGGACCTGTGTTTTTTGTTCAATTAAAAAGATGATATAACAGGTGTGGATTATAAGAAGTATGTTCGTATCCCCTTAGGTATATTGCACGTACCCCGCGACCCTCTGATCCTCTCTCAGAATACAGTGGAATACATTATCGTTTTTGCAATATCAATGATGTAGGTGGGATTCCAACTTAGAGTTTGCATCAGAATGCGAGAGAAAGATGACTGCGCTGAGAAACGATGCGATCTATGGCTGCAGTCGCGCTTTTTGTAGTTGAGCATTGGGCGAGTCAGAGCGAGGGAATCGATCGTTTATTGAAGCCCAAGGTTTTATTTCAATTCGGTAACTACTCTCGCGCCATGCGTCGTGAGTGACATCAGTATTAGGTATTCATGTATCATTTGTCTCGTGGACAACAATAGACGTTAGATAGATAGACGTTTATCAGAAGCGTTACTAGTGTACGGCAATTACACTCCTGGGACTGGAATCTTCTCTTCGCCCTGAATCTAAGTGTCATTTAATTTGGTTTTGAGAATAATCTGGAGGAACTTCCAGTGATAATCTAAACCTGCATTTAGAAGGGGATTTTGACCATTCAGCCAAGAGTTGTTTGTTTACGCATGATATGTACACGTAATCTCATCCTTTATAATATTTTTTCTTCAATAAAAAAGAGTTGATTTTTTTTATATTAATTTTGAATTTAGTAACTGATGGAATTAATATTGTGCTATCTATTAAGTACTGATGACTACTGCTTGCTTAGCCGCTATCCAAGAGTTTTCCAAATGAATGTACTGTACATAGGCAGAAGAAGAAACACTAACGTGAAATAATGAATAATCACGTCTCAACGGTTCCATGGCCATCACCTGATCATTGTTCATTTGGCGTTCCCGACGGAAGGAAAGTTTCTTAACGGACTCTAGGTTAAAGCTTTCGAGATGGACAAAGAGCTTCCCATGTGAAAAGGACAACACGAATATCGACAACAGTAATATTTAGTGTGAATAATAAGGATTTAATAAAGGATATTTCTATACCTACGTCGATAGATGCTACTTTCGGGGAATTGCCGAAGGACTTTCCAGCCAGCTCGCGTGGCCACAGACCTTCAACTCAATTTGTGAAATACGGTGAGACGGCAAAGAAAAAAAAA